TCCACTTTAGAATTCTCAACCACTACCTCCTGGCAAATTTGGATTAAATCTAAAATAACTGCTTGCTGTGTAATTTCCTCCACTTCATGAAAGAAAAAGTGGTCCCTAGCACGTTCAAAGAACCGCATAGATTATCCAGGTCCTGCTACATTCCTTTTTCTGACAGAGCCCCAGATAGTTACGCTCCCACCTAATCCCTAGGTCCTGCCATTGAGATATTTCCAGTTTCTGACCCTTGGATTTCTCAAATTGTTGTTATACTGTGAAAACCTCCTGGTTAGAAAAACTTCAGGTTAAACCTATCATCATGCACACTTCAATCTTTTTTGCCTCAGATCTGAAAGGGTCTTCAACAAACCTTCCTGATGCTTTTTCCTGGGCTTGGGGACAAGTAAAGATGCCCTTTACAAGCCACACACCTGATGTTTTCCTGTGGCTGCTCGCTAGAATAAGCTATACAGAACATTGCTATACAAAATATTATTCTATAACAATAGTCTAGTATCCGGGCGTGTGTCTAGGTATGTGTAAAATTGGTGACTCACAATTCTTAATAATGATTGCTTCTACCACTATTTCCAGTTGTAGCTTGACATGGAAGGTATTCATTTATATTTTCAGGAAAATTAATGTCTTAAGCTAATTAAATGACTGCTTTTGTCATTGTCAAAATATTATATTTATACATGAGAACTGTTGCTCCAAATTACTGAAAATAATTTCACTGATTTAATACAATTTGCCAATTAGATTCCCAGCATATAATACTTTTTTCAATGTTAGTAAGAAAATGATTACATGAAATTGTATTGATGGCAAAATTTAATTTACTCAATTATTTTTTAACATCTGTATAGTAGACAAGACAGGGATCAAAGCATGCACAGTCTCATATTTGCCAGTTTAATGCAAAGTAAAGAGCAAAATATGAGCATCATTTTATTACATTATTCCATTATGCCTAATATAATTATTGTTTCAATTTCCTTGTTGCAGCTTTGTTTTCACTTTCTTTGCATATCTCACTTTCCAAAGCTTAATAGCAGAAACACTCAAGGATTGACTGAGAATAAAAAGAACTGTAAATATTCTTCAAGTACAAAAGAGAGAACCCATAGAAAAAGGCTCCAGAAGAAGTAACTGGAAAAGAAATGAGAATTTAGCAAAAGTGAATGATTTATCTACACTGTTCAAACAAAACGTGGGAAAAATAAGTATTGTAGAGGTTGCTGCAGTAGCTATTGTTCTAAGTAAAGGATTTTTTTTTAATAAAAAAGTCATTAAACAGCATGAGGAGATCAACTTGGAATGGAAACACTCAGATTCAACAACATCACTCCAAAGGAGCTGAAAGTACAGACTGAAAAGTCTTGCTCCACTAGAAGCAACCTGTAGTACTTACAAAGCTCTTGGATAAAGTAAATGAGGAGGAAGATTTAGAAAGCCTTTAGTAATAGTAACTACAACATTTTGCTGAAACATGTAAATAAATGGAATAAATAAAGGCATCAGGAGTAGGAACATAAAGAGCATTTTCTGATTTAAAAAAGAATGAAAGTAAATAACTAAAAGTAAATGCCATCTCAGTTAGAAAATGTCTAATAGATGTGTCCTTCTGGCATCATTATAGAAACTGGATAAATTCAGCATACCTACTAATGATGTATAACAAATGTTGAACGGGGAGATGGAGCTTTGCTGACAAGGGAAAAAAAAAAGTCTTAGTTTAGTGAGGATTAAATAGGAATTTGAGAAGCTCCAGGAATAGCAGGGAGAATGAAACACAGATGAAAGGATGCAGAAAAATACTGAAAAAAAGGGAGAATTTACATTGTAAGATAAAACTGTTTTCCAAATAATTTGTAAATATGTTGCAGAATGCATCAAGGTTTCTGTATGGCCTGTAATTACATATGGTAAATGATAGATGTATGTATTTGGTAGGAATTGTAGGTATCATAAAACCTTTTTTTTTTTGAAAAAAAAATCAAAGAAAATCAAAGATGGTATTGAAAGTCAATACTGCACATTCCCATCCTTCTGCCCCTGTTATCTGCTTTGGTATTGTTAGATCAACCACTTCTGTTCTCTTATTGATCCTGACCACTTCTTATAACAAGCTTTGTACAATATAAATATGCATTTTTCCATAAACTGATCATACATTTCTTATCTCAGCAGAGATAAAAACTTAAAATTCATTCATAGAGTAAAAGGTTATCAGGTATTGCTTGACTCTTTAACTTTTAACATGTACAAAAAGTATATAAAAATATAATATGCTTTTTTTTTACGGGGTCAGCAGACTTTTCTTTGAGAGCAGACAGATGTTTCGAATAACTACAGTGTCACTGTTGGTACTGCTGGAAGTCAGGTCTTGCCTGGGATCTATCTGTCTGAAATCTCTTTCATCTTTAAACAGACCTGAAGCCAACTTATAATTTATTCTTTTATTCATGATCCAAAGTCCACAGTTTTAAAAATAAGGATGTAAAAATACAATCCCTAGTTCCCTCAGTGATAAAACTCAAGAAAGGAGCAGACACCTCTGTAAAAAGTCTCACTTTTTCGTTTTAGGATATATTTCACATCTCAGCTTGTGTACCTGTATAAAACACCTAGAATTGACTCTAACATTTTTTCTCCAAATATTGGCTTTTAATAAAACAACACAAACACCTATTTCCCTCTCCTCTGATCTCAGATCTTGCTGAGTTTTCTAAGCTTCCCATATCATACACAATTAATATCGTAGGGCAGTTTGCTGTCCAACACTTCCTGGAACTGGTAAAAAACCCGACCTACTGTTGCAAAATGTAACAATATTGCAAAATGTTAAGATAAAATTCTCTTTCAAAGTTTCATGTTAGCTCAGACATAAAGGCTGTGAACTTTGTGGTTTATTTATTTATTTATGTATTTTTCCTAAAAAAAAAAGAGCAGAGAAGGAAAGGGTCGTGTTATTAAATTTACAAAGCTGATGCCTCTCCAAGATTCGACTTACTGGGTAAGACAAGCAGCAGCAGGTTAAATTGCACCGTGTGTCGTTCTGTTCGGGTTTGAATGTGCTGAGTGCGGATCTTTGCTTTACCTCATTGCAAAGACTGGTATTTTTAAGTCAGAAAGGGCTACATGGAATGGCTCAGGGAGCTCAGGATCAGTGACAAGTTAGCGTGGGATTTAGGGAGGAAACACCACGCGCTCTCCCATCCGAGGTGCCCTGTGCACAGTCAGCATATTTGGAAGTTAAAAAGGAAAGCCTATATCTGAGCAACATTTTTAAGGTTCAATCATAAAATTTTCTATCACAAAGCCTCTACTCTGCCCAGATATGTTAGGTTAGAACAGCTCTTGAAACTGCATCAAATTATTCTGGGACTATTATCTCCACTACAGCAGTCTACATGCTGGTTTTACCAATAAATATATCGGTAAGGCCAGCTCAGATCTATACATCCCTGTCCAGAAGCAGGGCAGAGATTGGCTGCTTTTACTTAATGAGTCTGAGAACGCCCGTCCCAAGGAGAAAGGAAAGGGCATCGAAAACATTTGTTTCTCTGAATATCCTTGCAAAAAGGCCAACCACAAAGGAAATCTTTGTTCTCCTTCTTCTATTCAGGCAGTAGTATTGTTCCTCTAAACGTTGCAAAAATACATCTGCACTGAGTGCCCTAGCTAGGGCTAAGTATGGCAAAGGAAAGATGTTCTCTGCAGTAAGCCTTGGACACAAATGTATCAGACATCACTTTTCTCTGTGCGTTTTAGTGCTTAGATTTTGATGGTAATAACTAAGAAGCCTTGGTATATGTTGCCCTGTCTTTTTTTCCTTTGTATTTTACCTTACTACTATAATGGGTAGGTATACATACCAACCCTCTCCTGTAACCTTGTTGTCTGTTCTCATTCAGTGGCTTAAAACTTATGAAGACTTGCTCAAATACTTTCAACGTGTAAATTCTAACGAAGATGTTTCAGTATATTAGACTTTTAAAAGTGTAAATGATTCCATGTCAGGAACTGGGGGGATGAAAGGTGCAGAATGTTACACATGCAGCTGCTCGGCCAGAGCTCTCTGTGCCATTTATCTCCGACCCAAAAAAAAAAAAAAAAAAAAAAGGCATATGAGAGAACGAGTATCCACATTTGCAGAGTTAAAATGATGTATATAAGTGGATGTATATAAATGATGTGTATAAATGAAGTATCTCAATTTCCCAAGGCTGTCACCTTTCTAAGGCCCTGATGTGACATCCAGCTGCCAGAAGGTTGGTGTTCCTGCATTTTTGTAGCTTGTTATTTCTTACCCAGGACATACCTATCCACTGATTTCTGCTTGTTGTTCTTCTAAATCTAGCAACCTTTTAAGTTGCATTTAGATTTTCAGTCACGATCATTTATGCAGAACAAATGCTACTTTTATAGTTGCCCTAATATTTTTCTCAGGTGCTATTTCTGTTTTTCTTTCAGCTTTATACAATTTTTACAGAAAAGCCTGAGTAAACAATCAAATACAGGCTAGCATTTTGCTTTTCCTTTTTTATTTGTGACTAATTGAAGAAGAAATTTGGCATTTAATGGACAAATCCACACTAGTCACTGAGCTTTTCAACAGACCTCTCTCCTGTAATAGGATTGTTGAGACCTTATGTTTTCTTGGTTAATTTTAAACATTTAGATTTGGATCTGGAGTAAAACATACATCAGTCTGAGAGAAAAAAAAAGAAGTTGAAGTAGGCTTTAGTAGTTCTAGGTTGGTGCAAAAGCAGAAAGTGCAGGAGCAATGGATCTCCCTGCTGTGTTAAGTAAAAAGTGCACATTGCTGAGATTAAAAAGCAGTATCTTGGAATATAATATTAAATAAAATGCATTTCTGGTCTCGTACTGTAACAGAGCGATGGTTGTTTAGCAGCCGTAATCGCATGTAATATTGGCTGCTCAGTGAAAGCTTTAGCCCGAGCTTTTTTTTCCCATGAAATCTGAAGCAGCACAGTTTCCATTTCATGGCACGAGAGGTCATCTACAAGAAAGTGATGAAGGTGTCTGCAACACTCGAGAAACGGGTCAGACGCGGGAGGCACCGACCTCTCCACGCGCGGTTCAGGAGGCAGCGGCCCCCGGGCAGGGACCCCCCGACACCTCTTGTCCCCGGCCCGCGGGGACACGAACGGGGGCTGCTCGGCCGGGAAAGAGGTGGCCGGGACCGAACGGCCACCCGGGCCCCGACGGACACCGCGGGCGGGGCGGAGGCGGGACACGGCGGCCCGCCCCCCCCC